GACGTAGGCTATAGACAGAAAATAAGTGAACACAACACATCTATAACTTGAATGACTAGAAGAAAATAACTTTGCAAAGATCTTTTGAATATTATTTTCATATTTTTAATACGTAAAAATAAAACTCTCTTACAAGACTTGAAGCAAAAATAAATTTATAAAAAGCTACCAAATCAATTGATCGACCAGAAAAGAGTTGAAAATCATGGAAAAAAGACATTCTCCACACGAGCAAAAGAAGAGTGTGAATCTACACAAGAAAGGAATTTCACTCTTATTGGATAGTATATAAGTATATAATATACTAAAGTTTGGCAATGTACCACACAATATGGAATATGAGTACTTTCTTTTGACTCTTAAGTGAAACTTTGGTCATCTCAAGCCCCCCAAATTAATCATTATTGTTCTTTTGAAAAAGATGGTCAATTGTGGACAAATTTAGATTACCAATGGCAAGGGGACTTACTATTGAAGGTAAAAAAAAATGAAGCAAAATTGGATCCAATCAAAAAAATGTGGACTTTCAAAGTGAAATGGGCTCCAAATCCAAATGCTTAATGGTGCCAAAACAGGTCAGTCCAAAAACGTCATGCTTTCAATTGGCACGTCACAAAACAGTTAAGTACAATGGGTGGGCCTTTTTTAATAGTAATCTGAAAGAAACCTCAATTTCCAGATGGTGGCTAAAATCTTGTTCGGTGCCAACTCTCTCCTGCTGTTTGGTGTTTTTGATATTTGTAACGAGAATCTGATAAATTAGAATTTGTTTTGTATAAGATCTACAATAATAATAACAATGGTATATTTAATATAATTATATATGTGAATTTGAAGAAGATAGAGTATATGAAGATTTTATCCTACTTTATGATTTGTGAGGTTAAAAAAGTTATTTTGGAAGTAATTAATATATAGTATATATAAAAGTAAATTATACATAACAAGAAATAGAGAAATCATTACATGATAGTCTGAAAATGAACAATAACAACAACAAATAATGTGCTAACGAAAGCAAAACCAACAACAAATAGTAACAGAAATTAAAGGACAAGAAACTAAGAAGCTAGTACTAATGATACCAATACACAAGGAAAAACATCTATGGTGCACCAAACCTATCCCGACATAACTTCCAATTAACTTTCTATTGTAATCTTTGACGATTTCTTATAAAATCTACTCGTAAAAAGAGAAAAATACTTTCTACATAGTTTTTTTTATATACTCAAAATTCAAACAAGAAATTTCTAATTTAAAATAGAGAATTTCTATCCATTTCCCGCAACCTTCTAACTTGCCTGAACCATTTCAAGTAATCCTATAAGATTATTCTCTCAACATAAATTGATTTATTAGCAAGTGGTAATAAGAGAGATATAATAAGCACACCTTCATTCGGTGACAACGCCAAAAATTCATTCAAAAATAAATAAATTATGTCAAGAGGATTCGACAAGTAATATATATATCCAAAAAAAAAAAAATTACCTTATTTATATCATATAATTTTTATGAAAAAGCTAGACTATATTTATAAAGGATTAATCTGACAGAACCATTTTATCTTCTCAAGGTAAAAATGTTAGTATAAATTTATGTACACATTATCGTTCACATACCACACTTATAGAATTATACTGAATGTATTATAATTATTATTGTCGTGATTTTGGAATATATTTACAATTGGCCAAGAATGGATCTAAGTTCCGAACAAGTAGGCAATGACTCGGTTATGAAAGAACACGTCAGCAAATAGGCAACCATTGGTGAGCCACGTCATCATCATACGTGAGGCAAAAGAATCCTCTTCGAAATTCAAACCACACAAATCTCTCTTTTATATTACACGGAATTATTGGTTGACTTATTAACCACTTGATTTTATTTAGTGAAAATTAATAAATAAAAAATATCAAAAGAATATATTTTCCTACTAATTACCTACTCAAGAGAAATAATAATAGGTCCTCAACACTAAAATCTACTATTTTTATATGGCATATTCTTTTCCTTTTGTATATTTTAAAAATATGACACATAATATTTTACTATATTAAGAAATGAAATTAGTTTCTCTTCTTAAACTCAAAGGTCGTTGTTGGATGCTTTTTATACAATTATCTAAATTTTAAAATTCTCCTTTTATTTTTGTGATATACCTTTATTAGCTAGCCACCGAAATATCACGATATATGTAAATTAAATCATAATATTTTTATATATTCCAATAGTTTTTATTTCTTTATAAACTTTGCGTCTAGTCAACATAGATAGATATAACTTCTTTTGTAAGTTTTATTAAATACGTATATGTAGATGTATGATTAAAAGTCTTTTTTTCTTAATGAAATTTTGTTTCTGTCAAATATCGTAATATAAAATAGTAATAAAATTAGACATGGGGACTATAATAACTAGTGCTTATATATAGATGAACTAGAGTACCATTTTAGTGATGTTAATAGGGAAATATCATATCTTTTTATCAACCACCTCCCCTTAGACTTTCATACACTTAATTCTCCTCTTTCTTTTTTCTTTCATTTCTTTTCAAAAATGAGTAACAACAGCAGCTTGAGCATGGTGGAATCCAAATTACCACCAGGATTTAGATTTCATCCAAGAGATGAAGAACTTATTTGTGATTACTTAATGAAGAAGGTTGATCAATCCACAGACCAACAACAATACCCTCTTCTCATAGAAGTTGACCTCAATAAATCCGAACCTTGGGAAATTCCTGGTACGTTTGTATTTCTTATAGAGAATCTCCTAATTTTTTCAGAGACTCAGATTTATTTCATTCACATCTTAAATATTAAGGGTGTTGATTTTTATTTTTTTTCAATTGATCACATACTTCTATGGTATATTATTGATCAAGAGTTCTTGATTATTATTCTTCTATATGATTTTTTGTTTGTGCCACATAGTTGGGTTGTAGATGAAGTGATAGCTACCGGATTGGTCCAAACTTTTCATTTTTTTGTTACTATTTTTCGTGGATAAGAATATCATACACTGCTAATAATAATTGTGATTAGTCTTAATTAGAAAAAAAAATTAAAATTGTCTTCTTCCTTAGCATTAACACTTAACAGTTTTAATTTCCTTTATGCTTATTTGTTTGTTCACACTGCGTATGTTAAACGCTCTCAAAGTATTTCCACAATATAGCTTGACTTTCCTGTCTATAACCCAAAGTCTTTAATTTAAATTTTCAAAATAAGTAACCACAGAACATTTATTAGCATGGTCCTTCTGCTTTATTTCTCTAATCTTTTTTTTTTAATAGAAGAAATTAACCATCACATAATAATAATGAACACTTTTAGCTAAAAAATTATATTAAATCTATAGAATTAACCATTTTTTTTAATGTATATGTATAATAGACGTTAAATTCTCTTTGAAAATACTGATCAATTGTATTCATAGAGAATAATATTTTTGGATATGTGAATAATATATGAGATATATACGAATTAATGGTTCTCATAAGGTTTCTCATTCAATTAACTTTTGTAGTAATTGACAGTATTGGCATATTGTGTTGAACCAAAAGATGGTGAAAGCGATAGAGATTAATGCAAATATTGATCAATTAACATACAACATGTCATATATATCTCTTAAGTGGCCATCTATCTATCTGGTGACTTGTCTCAACCACAAGCGTGTACATTTATACTCCAATTTAGAGAAAATTAAGTACAATTAATTCTGGTCATAACTTTACCCCGTGTAATTTTAAAGCTATCTTGTCAACATCCTCAATTTTTCTTTTGCCTTGATGGGTGTCTCGATCAGTTTACATCTATCTTGATTAATTTTATTGGGTATGTATCTTCAGGGATGGATTAAGGGTGGTGAGAGCCGATTCTCGAAAACCCAATTATTTTTGTGTAGATCATATATTATTTTGAGAAATATTTTAAATATATAAGAGACGTTAGTTGGGAACTCAATAACAAAGTAGTCACTTGGTTTAACAGTAGAAATGAAATTGCTACCCTCCTTAATGTGGGTTCAATCCCCTCATCTTTTACTCCTGCTCTACCCCATCAGGGGATCAATAGAGTTCTCACTTATCTTTATGTATGACTAAAATCTTCAACCTACCGGCTGATGGTGGGGTATGATTCCTCTTATACACGTATAATAAAGTTTTTTTTTTTTTTTTAGTTTGAAATTAGCTAGGAACTCATTATAAACTTCAAAATATGGATCCACCTTCGTATTTTTCTGATACATATATTAATAAAAGATAACAGATACCTAATGAAATTAATCGAGCTATTTATGATAATATTTTGGAGATAGCAAATATATGTCCAATGAAATTAATCGAGCTAACTCTGTACACCAAAATTGATCACCTAGCTAGTAATTTTTGGCGTCGACTTAATTCCTTTATTGTAAGAATATAATTCTTTCTTTTACATTTCTATTTTCAAAGGAACAGTAATATACACTATACATCTAGGTTCTTTGAACTTTAAATTTCCCCATCAACATCTTTTACCTAAGCCATTTGCATAAATATGGCCCTCCAATAATTAATTATCTCCATTTTTGGATAAAGATTTTAGCACTTAACCCATGCATAAAAGTTACGTTTATGGACAAAAAATGAGTGAGTCATGGTGGTGCCACAAATAATGGCCATTTTTTCAAAAATAAAACAGGTCCCCTTCCCTTTTTATCATCATCTTCTTAATTTTCGATAATAGTACTATGAAATTGACATATTCCTTTTTCCTTTCATTTTCTCATCCTTTTATTATTTGTTTCTTATGCTACTCAATCCTATCTTCTTTTGATATTTCATGATGCATGTCGCTTTGAAACTTACTAGAAACAATCAACCAAAAAATATCATATTGAACTATGTAATCATCTCATTTAAACGTTCAAACTATTAGAGAACATATTTTTTTATTATTATATTGAATTGTGGAGTACCTTAGCTAAAAGATTAAAATGTTTAACTAATTAATCATACTATACATAATATTTACAGAAGTGGCATGTGTTGGAGGCAAGGATTGGTACTTCTACAGCCAACGTGACCGAAAATACGCGACGGGGCTCCGAACAAACAGAGCCACCGTATCTGGTTACTGGAAAGCCACCGGAAAAGATCGTGCAATAATCAGAAAAGGAAGTCTTGTAGGAATGAGGAAAACCCTAGTTTTCTATCAAGGAAGAGCCCCAAAAGGAAGAAAAAGTGATTGGGTTATGCATGAATTCCGCCTTGATGAAGGTCCCCTTAGTAACATTCGTTCTCAAATTTCTTCTCTCAAGGTACATAACTTTTTTTACTACGAGCTCAAATATTAGTAATTGAGTTCTGAATTTAATACTATAGATATATATATATATACATGTATGCTTAATTTTTTTTATTCAAATAGTAAGTGTTCATAAAATATCATTTTCTCTAAGCGAAAACATGTATTATCTTTGGAGTATATATGCTTAGAGAATATTATATCATATAGTACATACATAAAATTCTATATATATATTCAACAAAAAAATTGTATAGGTAAAAAAAAAAAAAGTGAACTAGTTCTTCTTTGGTCATACTGGCATTTACTTTTACCGATAAAAGCATCATTTTGACGACTTGAAGCATTTAGGTCCATAAAAAGTTCATTAATTATTATGCTAAGAAAAAAATATATCATAAAACTATAAAATAAATAAAGTAGATAAAAGTAGTTTTCAATTGAGAGAACTGTCCATTCATATATTTAAAAAATAAATAAATTTGATTTGAGAAATTGTGAAATAAGCATGAATTTAATTTGTCGTTATGAAAAATACAAGTATGTGGCTGTACATAATAAATGACAGTTCATATATATTTATTGCCCATGATGAATTTTTGGCTTAATTATCTAAATTATCCTTTTCTCTTGGCCTACTTATATTATACTAATTGATTAATCCAATCGCTATAAATGCGGTTAAGTTCTTCTTGGAATCTTATTTTATATTCAACTGTAAACATCATTGGAAGTTTCTTCTATCATTTTAAGAATATGGTTTTATGAGTTATGACAAATATGTGAACTATTTTATCTTTTAAAAACTGTATTGGTAGTTGACCAACTTACAACAACTACTTTATGCAAAAGGTTAATACCTTAGTCATTTCACTTTTAGGAATTATATATTCACTATATATACCACAATAATAATAAATCTAGTATAATTTTATGTAAAGTTTGGAGAAGATAGAATATACAGTTACTTAATCTCTATCTTTGCTGGATAGTCTTTGACTAGATATAAACTTTAAACGTTAATTTAAATTAAATATGGAATAAGTAGTAGCTAGGAAATATAATAGAACATTATTGTTCTAATTTTATTAATGAATTTGATTACTTGAAATCCTTGAAAGATTTGTAAACCAATGTATATACTATTATTAAATTATGTCAAATTTTATGAGACATATCTAGCACAATTATTGTGATATAATATGTTAATAATCAGTGCTACTTAATGATTAAAAAAAAATATCTCACGACTCTTTCACAATCTATGTTTAATCAGAATAAATTCCATTTTTCATGTTTTTTTTTAAGATAACAACACAACCTAATTACCTAATCCCGTTGTCCTTGACCACGTCACGTTATTTCAGAAATTTTTTCTCATAAAGCATCAATTAATTACTTGGTGATAATGAATATTGTTAAAATTCATTTAGTATTATCCATATTTATGAAATTTGTCCTCTCATTCAGTATACTATTTTTACTTTGTAATTACAATTTAACGGACTATAGTATAAAGATTATTATTCTTTTCTTAATTTAGTTACATATTGTTAGTGTATAAAAGTTAAACGTCTTTCTCATTTTTCTGAAACAGGAGGATTGGGTATTATGCCGAGTATTTCACAAGAACAAGGAATTACTTGCTACCAAGCAAGGAATTGGAAGCAACAACATATACTACGATAACGATACAATAAGTTCTTCATCTTTACCACCATTAATGGATCCTTACATTACTTTCGACCAAATAAACCCTAACAACAATATCAATATGAATGAATTATATTATGAGCAAGTGCCCTGCTTCTCCATTTTCACCCCTAACCAAACTTTCACTAGCTCCCATAGCCACCACCTCCCCGCCACCACAAACGCCATCGGATCTACCCCTATCACCACCGCATACGGTGGTTTTCCAGCTGATATTGGAAATTACCTAAATGCCACTGCAACATCCTCTACGTGTGATAACAAAGTAATTAAAGCTGTTTTAAGTCATTTGAGTACCAAGAATAATATTATGGAAGGTAATAGTAATAATAACAATATTATCAATCCTGCCCAAAATATTGTGAATATAAAAGGAGGAAATTCACCTAGCTTTGGTGAAGGAAGTTCTGAAACTAGCTTTTTATCTGAGGTGGGATATCCTACAATATGGAACAATTATTGATTTTTGAGAGAATTATTGAAAATATTGTACTTAGATGTGGGCTATGATATATGGAAAGTCTTGTTTAAGTTGTTAGTTTCATATTGTAATCTTTGATATATTAGATTAGAATAATGTAAGTATACTAGATTTTCCAATACATGTATGCATGTTCCAATAATGATATTTTCCTAGTGGTTAATGTATATAATTGTCTCCTAGATTGGAATAATTTCTCCATATCATTGTCATTTTTTTATTGCATTCATCTTCATCTTGTAAGCGATATCGATATTTGAAGGTGAATAAATCACTATAATGATTAGTGGTATCATTTTTAATTTTTACTTATTATAAGTATCTAGTGTTCGTATAGTAAAAAAATTCAATGAAACAGTATATTCGTCGTCCTTGTCCATCCACAGATTAAATAACTTTTGATACAATGATTTCTTCTGAAATATAGTATACATATATTCTAGTGGAATGGCGAAAATGACTCTATAACAACTGGTTTAATCAAATTAAAATTTATGACTACGCTATTAGTGGGGAAAAAGCGTAAATATCTGATGTATTTTATTTTATTTTTCTTTTTTGGCACGGTGGGGAGGGGGGTTACTGTACTTTCTCTGAACATTGGGGTCCCCTAAACAATATTAAGTTACTGTTCATGAATTTGATCGAATTTATTTCATATGTGCTTCATGCATTGTATCATAGATATGCATGCCTAATTCTTGGACATGAAGTGAAAGGTATACTGTATACACCAAATATATAATCTTCTTTTTGTCCAAAAATATATACCCATTTTGGAATTGCGTATGGTAAAGTGGAATCATCATATTTGACAAGAAAAATAGAAAGACTCTAAAGATGAAATTTGGATAAGCTTAATTTAGTTGCACATACATTCATTGTATCATAAAATTCATAATCTTAATTAGGAGGCACTCCTGTCTGTATAAAGCAAACCAAAAAAAAAAAAAATCATTAATTATTTTTGTCCTATAATTACTTTCATTTTGAACTTCCATGTGATCAACAAAAATGTTGTTATTATGATATGTTGTTGTCCGCTTTGAGCCAAACCTATAAGATAGTAAATCAACCTGCAGCATGCAAAAGGCAATTAGTCAAAACTCATACCGTAAATCAGAAATATCGGCATCGATACCAATTAAAAGTTAGCTAAAACAATTTTAAAATATTTTATAACATGATATAATATCAATTTTGAGCCAAGTGCACATTATTTTTCTAAAAAGAGTATGTTTAGAGCATTAAAGTATCACTTACATCTAATAGATGACTTCTTTTTATTTATTTTTAACCATGACTTTATTTCCACATCAATATGATAGAACCAGCACCCATTGAAAATATTAGTAGTAAAAACCCTTAATAAGGGAGCTGTTTTGTAATCTTTGGAATAGTAGAAATCAATGAAATTTTGTGAAGGCTTTCTCCTCATGATATTTCCCTTGGAATGTCTAATCAATAAACAATGTAAAATAAATAACCAATCATTTTTTGAAAACTCTTAGCTGCCGACCCTTTCTTTAGTACAATTCTTTAAATGAAATAAATTTTCTTTTTTTAAAACAAAATAAAATCATATACAAGTCAATTGTATTATTTTTCATTGAAGATGACAAGAGCCAAACATCAATTTTACATACTTCTATTCCATAAATGTGACACACGGGGTAATCAACTTATTTAATTAATTTAAGTCTTCCAAACTATTCACTAAAGAATATGAAAATTAATTAAAATTAAGTATTTCCACCTAATAGTATTAGAAAGGAGTACTTCCTAATTAAAAAATACAGGTACTAGAAAACAAGAAGATTGATTAAGGATGGTCAATATTGTTTCACAAATATTTACGAGTAATTAATGTAATTAACTATCATAAAAATTATGAGTAATTAATCTAACTATCACTTTCATCTCATAGCTAATTACAGGTAAGAAAGACAATCAAGAAAATAAAACACTCAAATCCTTCTTTGCTCAGCAAGATTTGCTGACTTAATTTCATCTTTAATTCCATGTTTGCCTACAGATTCCACGCGTAATCTACTAATTACAGAGTATATTTTATGTTCACACTCACACATTAATTATAAAAGTTACTATAGCAAGTAATAACTTAAGGAAATTCAAATACTAATATATTAGACAATGGTGGTAATTAAGTGATACTTGTTAATTTAAAATATATATATATATAAGTAGAGTTTTCATATGTCTAATCTTTTTCAAATTTCACTTGTAAAACTATACTAAGTTTGTTATTATTGTTATTGTATTGTGATGAGTACGAATAGAAATTAAAGACTCTATGTCTGAATTCACATCTAACATATAACAGTAATTAGTCTTATCCTTTAGCCGCCTATATACTACATTTTAAGTAATATTTTGGAGCAAATTAAAGACGTATTCAATCGTAGAAAATCAAACAAGTCAGAGCGGTTCTTTCGCTTTCACTTGCACACGAGCTTCACCATATGATAGTTTTCATTTTTTTTAATCACTTAAGATATTAATAAAATAAGTCCAACCAAACAATTGTAACATTATTATTATATATATTTAAGAATATTAATTCAATCAACTATTATTATCATAATAATATAAGAAATATACATAGTACGAAAGAAAATGATTAAAATATGGAATAGGATTAATTAGGTTGGCTTATAATATATGGAGCCAAAAGTCTAACTGAGAATTTGATTTTTTATTATTTTCTATTGGGAAGGTATTATATAATCCCCAAATGAAAGGAACTTATTACCAAACTCCCATAATAATCGGATGAAAACAACATTTTTTCTTGAGTCCAGTAAGCAACATGTTTCTTTTCAAACTTTCATGACTCTCCTTTACTTTCTTTGAAGCTTTCTCAAATTTATAGACTTTGAATATACAGATTTGATAAAATTCAATAACTTTGACTCAATTCTTATATATGTATTTAGAAAATTTCACTAAATTTGTACGAACATTAAATTCAGACTCTAGTTACTAGCACTAGAGATTGTTATTTTAAAATCCAGAACTCATAAAGTTCAAATCTTAGATCCGCCCCAACTAACCATATATCATCCGTGACATTATTAGTGTTACAGTATATAATATTGATATTTGGCACTTTTAGGTAATTCAAACATATTTGTTTGAGAATATGATTTTTGGATTTTTCTATTTTCTTTCCTAATTCATTCTCGATTTGTTGTTGAGATTAGGTTGATTCACTTGCATATTTCAAAGTCAAACTCCCGTGTGCTCCAAGATATGACACTTGATATTTGAAAGGTATATACATAAACACGCAGACAAAACATATATTATAATTATGTAATATTTAGTAGCTTGAATATATCGTATGAGACCAATAATAGCAACCACAAAATATATTTTTAAGTAACTTAGGATATATATGTGAATATTTAAACAATTACATATCTCTAGCTAAAATACGAAAAGAAAAAAAAAAGTTCCGGTTTGATATTGTTGGAATTCAAAGATGTATCATGAGTAAAATAATCTTTTATTATTATTTTAAGACATTGTTATTGTTTGAGTTTTGTCCAAATGTTATCTTCACCTTAAAAATAGTTACTTCTCAATTACATTTCAAATGATGAATAAATTTTAACAAACAAATTGAAAAACTATCCATATGGTTAAAAAAAAAAAAACTTACTTAGTGGTTATCTGTTTAATTACATGGTAAATGTAAATGATCACTAAAGTCTAAACATTAACAAGCGATCCAATAAACATAAATGCACGATGGACTCCTAAAATGGGCTAGCTAAGCTTCAATAGTGCTGGGCTTCAGTCCGCAAGATACACTAGTTGGGCTTTAAGAATAGGCCCATGTATATGGTTTGGGCGTTAAGAATAGGGAAAATTTTCAAAACAACAATATTTTAGCTTTTAATAGGATTCCTTAGCAACAGTTTCACTATTTATTTAAAATGTCAATATTTTAGTTTGTTAAGGGCTGAGTTATGTATTTATTTTATTTTGATTAATTTAAAAGAATACAAATAATTAATAACAGAATAGGAAAATCATGGAATAGAAAATTTCAAAAAAGATAAAAAAAAAATTAAAATTTAACATCAGTTACGTTTTTGAAAGAGCATATGTTGCCATTTTTCTTTCTAGCATTTTTTTCCTTTGTTCTTAAGAATTTCAATTTTTTTTTAAAACAGTAGTTTGTATTTTATATCTTATTCCCTTAAGAATATGCCCACGTTTACGTTTTGGGCTTCAAAATATATCTAAACAACGTCGACAATGGCGCCATGGAGCTCCGGCGACAGCATAGCCTAAGCTCTTTCTTCAGCAAGGAGAACTGAGCTTAAGTATAGCAATATTTTTCAATCCGCTTGAACTTTGTAGTCAAAGAAAACGGGTCTTTAAGCTAGAAACTTTAATGGAGTTAACTTTCCCAGTTGAAAGCTCAGTTTTTTGGCTCCAAAATTGGTTACAAATCCCAAAGCTACTCAACTAAAGTAAAATTCTATCAGAAAGTATCTCGTCCTCAATTTCCAGCACGTGGAATTAGGGTTCGTTCGGAATTTGACCATAAAATCAATGGCACTTTCTCTCCTGATTCTGACGCTCGATTTCTCGATCGGGTATCTCTTTCTCTCTCTACATGTGTGTGTATTTACCTGCTTCAGCAAAAAACATTGGATGCTGCAATGAACGATATAAACAGCTCGTTTGGCAAAGGAAGTGTTACTAGATTGGGTAGTGCTGGCGGAGCTCTGGTGTATATAATTTTTTCCTGAATTCAAAAAAACTTATGTTAACTTTCTGCACAGAAAACATATCGAAACAAACATGAAATGTTTTGGGGAAAAGAAGAAGAAGATGAAAAAGGAGCACAAAATTTTGAAATCCAACTAAAAGCTACAAGAACATCACAAAAGAAAGCTAGACTAAAAATTCCAAAACCCAAACCAAGACTCTTATTATGATGTTGGGTTATGAAGGATATTAAAATGTCATGCGAAAGCTTATAATTTGTAAATTATATGATGATAAATTAGATGACAAATAAAACTATACTAAAAGACATAATATTATTAATATAGTATGATCAATCGGCCTACATACGAAAAACTAATACTAAAAAAAAAAAAGATATGTTTAGGAGAAAATCTCTCCCTAAACAAAATTCTTTATTGACTACATTGTGGATTC